TCACAGCACCGTCACATGCCGAAGCGTCTTGCTGCGCCGAACCCCAACAACGAAGCACGGAAACATGCATCGAGCATAGCTGGGGTGCGCCGGGTGCGCTGGGTGCGCCGGGTGCGCCTTGGGCCATCGATCCAGGGCTGCATGGCCCGCTCGATGGGCTTCAACACGGCTGTGGCGACCTGGCACAGTTCATGTTTCAGACCTGCCTTGACCCATTTGTCATACTGTAAGGCTCTGTAACGACGTTAAAAATGGCTCAAATGCGTCAAAGGCAAGTGGTGCTCACAACCACTCTTTCTTTCAGCACCTTTTAGGCGAATGCCTTGTTGCTTGGTTGCCATAAGATTGCCGAAAATGTTTCATCGTAGATGATTTGGATCATTTTAGAACTTGCAAGGAATTTACTTAAAGCTTGCAAACAAGACGGTTGGCACCGTCTCACAAATCTTGTTAGAATGAGCAGATTCCACGTGGTCTACTACTGTTTGAAAGCTGCTCAAGTAATTCATTGGTTTCCATTGGTTTCCCATGTTTTTCCTGTCTGTGGCCATGAGTTGGAAGTTGAAGGCCAGGCTGGCAGCAAAAGGAGCTTCAGGATTCCAGCACCAAGGATTTTGTTGTCATCCAGACCTTCTTTCCATCTTGCGCACGCTTCGAAACACCTCGTGGCAAGTGAGCAAGCTGCACTGGCCATCAGCTGCACTCAGAAGCTCAATCTTAAGAGGATCTTACAAAAGCGGTGAGGACATGTGACAATGCACCGGATAAATGAGTCCCACGTAATTCAAATATAGTTGCAAAGTATTGCAAAGAAATCTCAAGTAATCTTTAGTAATCCATCTATCTCAGACCTCAACCCCAAAAACATCCAAAAACTGTAATCGTCACATGGCTCCGAAACACCACTGGGGCTCCAAACGCAACGACGTCAGCAGCGTGCCCCGCGCTCTTCCATTCCCCTGAGCAGCCCGGCGTCGGCGGCACGTCCTGGAGATCAAATCTGCGGGCCGATGTCAATGAACTCAACACACACTTTTCAGCAAAAGCATTCAGAAACCGACGCCCTCGTCTGACTTTATCCCCTTTTCATCCCTTTTCCGTCTAAAACACCTTGAAAACACGTTGGGAACAGTAAAACAGATTCCTGAAGATTCATTCATCCACTCAATCCACTTTCCGGTCCTCAGGAATACCATGAAAAGCAAACAGATGATCACGGGGAGGAGAACTGGGATCAGTTTTCCACCTTGGATGCGAAACAGAAACGCCAGGAACTTGATGTGGAATGCGGAAGAGCATACTTTCTCAGCCATGGAATCCAAACATTCTGCAATCAAACCACGGCCCCAGATACACCCCAAAGTCCAAGCAGAAACCGAGCAAGGAATGCAAACATGTCTCCAGAAAGGATTGACATATACCGTATACCCCCTAACTGCTACGAGCTGCGTTGGGCGGAAGGAACTGAAACCTTCACAGGTTTCACCTCGGCGATGGCTTGTGGGCAAGCAAGGCCTAATGCAAGGCAACGGATGCGTGTCTGAATACATGCTGAATGGGATATCAAGTCAAGAAACAGCTAATAACTTCGGGAGTCGTGAGGAAAGGAATCCACAAGGCCAGAAATCTATTGGACTGACCAAAACAAGGCAGAGGCCACGGCCTTCGTCGATGAAACAAGAACAAATCTCCCTTGTTTGATTGGATCTACTACTACCATTTGAAGGACAAAAACAGGCTGTAGGCAAATGTAGGCAAATGTGAGTCTCACAGCAGAGCCGAGAGTCCGGGAAGAAAACGAAATCCTGCATCAGGCAGAACCTCAGTTCTTCTCGCTTGTGTGCGGCGTCTCAGTCAACATGTTCGTTCTGGAGTCAACCGTAACCTCCTTGAAGGTCTCAAAGCATCACGATCGAAGAAAACAAAGCGATTCCCACAAATCGATACAAATAGATACAAATAGTCCCAATGATTGCATATTACCTTGCTTGCTGATTCTGCCCAGTCTAAGTTGTGGAGAACCAGTGCCTTAAATTTAAACGTGAGGCTCTTCAGACTTCCAAGTGTTTTGGCTGCGTTTCTGGCTACTCCGGGTGGCTCTGAGTCCCGCAGCACTCACAGGGGACCAAAGGAAAGGCCAGAAAGTGCTTCAAACGAACCAACGGCTGCGAAAACGGAGCAAAAAGTGGAGCCATGGACCATGTCAAGCAATGTCAATTTCCATCGTACAGTAGAAAACTTGGTTTCACAAAAAAAAAATGCCTAATTGACACGGGTCTTGCTCCGCCTCAGGGCAGGGTTTGGCCACAATCTGGAAATCAGGTTGTGATATTAGTTGTGAAATCCGTGTTCTCGCATGTTCTCGCTGCTTGTGATATTAGTTGTGTTTTTCTGGCATGGCTCGGCACGAGCATCTGAGCATCTGCACATTTCTTTCCGCGCTCCAGTTCCATTCTGCGCAGATCTGTGTAGGACTTTGCCATCACTCTGTGGGAACTGGGACTCAACCAAGTCGCTGAGAAACTCAGCGAGAAAGGGTGAAACCTGTGCTCTGTGAGGGCCATGATCATGCCCAGCGGGCTGGAGGCTCAAGAGCATGTTGCCGAGGCATCAACGATGCCACAGGTTAACAAGTCAAGGTCCACTATCATGAAATAACATTCATGAGTTATGCCAACTAACGGCCCGGATATGTATATCATATAAATCAATATAAATCATATATGTGTATTAAGTGTATTTAATGTAATTATTTAATATTATATAGATGCCATTTGAGTCACCAACAGGGACGGGCACACTAACATTGGTATCATCCGCTGCCCCAATTTTTGAGCTGCGAAAATCTACCTGATGGCCCAGGTACTCACCATTCCTGCAGCAGAATCGAACAGTAAAAGTTTGAAAAAAAAAGAGCCGTTCCCTTCAGTCCGAAATGATTTTTGCACATGTTCGTGACTGGTTTGATTCCAACATGAGGGAAGTCGACGCAGAGCTGGTTGAGGAATCCACCTGAGGAATCCTACACAGCTGTGAGAACCAACAAAACTAGAAATCCATAGAAATCCAACATATTCCAACTAACATCGCATCTCCAGTTCCACAGTCTATTTTGCAACTTCCAACACTGTGTGTCCTTGCTTCACCCTGCGTGCATCCGATCATTTGGATGACTTTGTGATTGAGATTGGGTTAGTCCGGTTAGTCCGGTTAGTCCGGTTAGTCCCAGTTTCTTCAGCTCCTTCATGCCAAGCTCTTCTAGAAGCTCATCTGCCAAGCTTTTCTTTGGCAAACAACCGATGCCTTGCTTGCCTCGGCTGAAACATGATAAACATATGACAAACATTGTGAACGTGAAACGCCGATTCGGGATATGATTCAGCCACAAGTGCCAGGTCCAGTCACGGCATTTGCCAACGATGGAAGCTACTGGCCAAACATGGGCAGGTTTTGTCCAAATTTCCCATCACTTGGAGAATACAGGGAAAAGCATGCGTACTATATGCTATATTATACATCAAATGCCTTGAGCACCAAGACCCAGCAAAATTCCTGGGGCCAAACTTGCGCAAAAAAAAATAGAACTACAATAGAACCCTTGTTTGTGACTGGAAACCTGTGGCATTTATCTTGTAAACCAGTACGTAATTTGTACTCAACCGGTACTTTGCCAATACCGACCGATACTTTGAAACGGTGTTTCGTAGTTTTCTTGTTTTCTCGAATTTGTTGCAAATCCCGTCAAGAATTGCCTAGGACTATGGAATAGAGTCTTCTGGACCTCCTGGTGCACTTCTATTTTCCGAACAGCGTGGGACTCCTTCAAAAGGTTGTGGGATTCCCTTCAACAGGTTGTGATTTCATTTTGTGCGTTCCCTTTAAAAGAGCGCAACGAGACCTTCAACATGCGCGAAATTTGTTTGAAAAATGTAGTAGTGCACTTTATTAGAAAGGTACGTTGAAAAAGTAGAACCCGTTTATGCAGTACTCTTTCGAAAGGGTATGGTACTCCTTAAAGCAAAATTTGGTAGAAGTGTGTGTGTGTGTGTATATATACTATTTCTTCCGAAAAGGTGGACAGTGTGATGGGAAAGGGTGCAACATGCACTTCGGACCATGAACATTGCTAGAAAGTAGAATTCTATGTATGCAGGACTCTTTTTGTTAAGAAAGCGTGGTATCGTAGGTAACATGCTCTTCCGGATGAATGCAACATGTGAGTAAAGAATGCGATATCCATGTGTAGAAATTAAGTAGATATTTCCTTCAAGAAGCTATTGCCTTGCAAAAAATGAATAAAGGAATTGACATGATCTTTTCCAAGGAGTACTGCATTTGTGCATTGGTTATTGCATTTGTTTGACAGGAATGCTATGGGTTCAAACCAAACACACCGCATACTGTGCAGGATTTTCGCCTTTTAAAGGGATACCCATTGAAGGAAGACTGGATTTGTTGACAGAAAGACTCCACTTCGAACATTTCACCATTTTGGGGAATGTTCCATATTTTCCAGGCATACTGCTTCTTGAAGGAAGGCCTGTCTAAAGGAAGACCACCACTTGTGAACGAAAAATCGTTGTCTCTGAATTTAAAATGTGCCTTCAAAAAAAGTGGGATATTGCATGTGTGTGTATGTTTATTGAATACTGCGACTTTTCGACAGGAAGTCTGTATGCACAAGAAGAAAGGCAGAATAGTTTGAAAGGAAGACTGCACTTCTTCAAAATAAACACTACACCTTTTGAGGGCATGCCTCATGTTTTCATAGATGCTGGCCCGGAAGACTGCTTTCTCATAGCTACTTTAAGAATCTTTAAGATAAATTGCGTTATGTGGTGATACAATTTCTCAATCCTTTTGGTTCCTTCAAAATCCATCGTAAAGAAGCCACAACTACCTGCTCTCCCTCTTTCAATCTCACTTCTGCAATCTTTCACAACCACTGGGCCACTGGGTGCCAAGCATTTGTGCGCATACCACACGACGGGCTGCCCATTCGACATTTTCACTTTGAAGTCACCTTGAGAAGTTGTGACTGAGCTTTGCAACGTTCACAGGATACATGAAACTGCATGTTACATTGAAAGTTAGGTAGCCATAGGTAGCCCGGGAAGAGACATGCTCCCTGGGGGCTCGCTATGATGCTGATTTCACACATGCAACATTTCAGTCGCTGTCTAAATCGTATGAATTTGGACCAGTTGCCATCTTCATCAAAGCCCTCCACAGTTCCCATGGTCTCGCATAAGTGCACTCGGTCACCAATGGATGTGAGACGTTCGATCACACCTCGCTCATGCGGGAAAACCACTGGGAACTTGGGAAAGTTCATACAGATTCTACGGATTTCATGAGGGCAGCCGGGCTTGCCGGGCTTGCCGGGCTTGCCGGGCTTGCCGGGCTTGCCGGGCTTGCCGGGCTTGCCGGGCTTGCCGGGCTTGCCGGGCTTGCCGGGCTGCCACTGCCATCATGCAATCGATATCAAAGGCGTTCTTGGCCTTTCAAATCATCTAACCACCCAACAGACTGTTTCCACAGAGCGTCTAATGTGTCTATGAAGTTCAAGGGGCGAAAGGTTCCCAAGATTTCCATAGACCATCTGACCAACCAAGGGTTTTGAGATGCTGTAGCAGCAACATGTCACAACTTGATTTCACCCTATGGAGACGGTGCACAAACTTCGAAAGGCTTTGAACCTCCCAAAACTATCCACTGATGTCCAGAAATCTATCCACGGCATCCGATGGCAGCAAGCACCAAACCCACCCAAACCACAAGTCATCAGTTCATGCAACGACGAGCAGCATCGGGGCCAAGCGCTTCGGAGTTGGTTAGGCTTCACCACCACGGGGTCATCTGCCAGGACGCTTCGAGGAAAATGCATATCTTTAAGGTAACAGAAGACTGGTGGCATAATGGTGGCATATCTTGGCTCTATAGTATCTTTCAAGTATCATACATGGATATAGACACGTTATGTACGTTATGTATGTACTTCACACAACCACATCCATAAATGTGGCAAAAATGCGTGACTAGGACACTGGGAGGAAATATGTGGCGCCATCTTTTAACGTGTCTCTGAACATGAAACCTTCGGAACTACTGTTGCATTTATGATCTTTTCTGATTCAATCCAAGATTTGGAACCCGTCCGCTCCTGGCCCCCACGTTCCAACAAACGGATGCGCACCCATGTGGTCGAAGCCAATGACTTCGGCCACTTCTTCTCTCCTGGTGTTGAAGACCCGGTCTCCAACACTGATTGCCTTCCGGCAATTCTTTGCATAGAAAATCTGAGCCGGGCAGGAAGAGTTCGGAAGAACAGCAAATGCTGGCAATGTCGGCAGCCAAGACTGAACCACATCTATCAGTCCCATGGTGAGTCTTACACTTACACTGTCTTACTATGTCAACTATGTCGTACTATCTGATCACTGTCACAATTGCGTAATTACAAGTGCATCCAATTGTGCAGTTGGGTGGAATTCGTACCTGTACAGCTACGCGGAATGGCACAATGCTCTACCAATGTGCTTGATATTTTTGTGTCACTACAATAACATTCACATATTGACAACAGACTCGGAATGCAAAACCTCTACTAGTGCTCCTAGAAAGTATCCAACGGATCTGCAACAACACATTGGAAGACTTTGCAAATGAGTTGATAATTAAGTTTGATGTTGTTTGGACGTCCGATTTCTGCAGTTGCAATGTTGGACTGGTTGGGATGCGTGGTCCACACTGCCGTTCCCGAACTTGCAGCCACATGCTGCATCAGGTAACCATCGTCTTCCCATCGTCGGTGAAGACAGGAAGGTCTCCGTCTTCGTCCACGCCGACGATCGTCGCTTTCGTTCCGCCTGGGATGACTTCACGGCATGACGATACGACATGCAAGAAACTGCAAGCACCAAATCCAATCCATGTCCTGCATGAAACCCTGGGAAACCACAAGTTTCGACACTTGCATGTGCCAGGGCGTGCCAGGGCGTATGTGAGCCACACTCTGCTTTGAGACTAAGGTCCCCGACAAACATCGGTCACTCTGCCACCCACCGTGAATATGTTGAGATCGTACTCCACGCTCCTGTGTATCACAGCACCGTCACATGCCGAAGCGTCTTACGAAGCACCGAAAAATGCATCGAGCATAGGTGGGGTGCGCCGGGTGCGCCGGGTGCGCCGGGTGCGCTGGGTGCGCCGGGTGCGCCTTGGGCCATCGATCCAGGGCTGCATGGCCCGCTCGATGGGCTTCAACACGGCTGTGGCGACCTGGCACAGTTCATGTTTCAGACCTGCCTTGACCCATTTGTCATACTGTGTCATACTGTAAGGCTCTGTAACACGTTAAAAATGGCTCAAATGCGTCAAAGGCAAGTGGTGCTCACAACCACTCTTTCCATTTTCAGCACCTTTCAGCCAAATGCCTTGTTGCTTGGTTGCCATAAGATTGCCGAAAATGTTTCATCGTAGATGATTTGGATCACTTTAGAACTTGCAAGGAATTTATTTAAAGCTTGCAAACAAGACGGTTGGCACCGTCTCACAAATCTTGTTAGAATGAGCAGATTCCACGTGGTCTACTACTGTTTGAAAGCTGCTCAAGTAATTCATTGGTTTCCATTGGTTTCCCATGTTTTTCCTGTCTGTGGCCATGAGTTGGAAGTTGAAGGCCAGGCTGGCAGCAAAAGGAGTGCAGCACAGACCTAGGATGTTCTTTTTATTACCCGTGTAGGACTCAGGTGTGCATTGCCAAGCTTCAGGATTCCAGCACCAAGGATTTTTTGTCATCCACACCTTCTGTCCATCTTGCGCTTCACGCCTCGAAACACCTCGTGGCAAGTGAGCAAGCTGCACTGGTCATCAGCTGCACTCAGAAGTTCAATCTTGAGAGGATCTTACAAAAGCGGTGAGGATGTGACAACGCATCCGATAAATGAGTCCCACGTAATTCAAATATAGTTGCAAAGTATTGCAAAGAAATCTCAAGTAATCTTTAGTAATCCATCTATCTCAGACCTCAACCCCAAAAACATCCAAAAACTGTAATCGTCACATGGCTCCGAAACACCACTGGGGCTCCAAACGCAACGACGTCAGCAGCGTGCCCCGCGCTCTTCCATTCCCCTGAGCAGCCCTGCGTCGGCGGCACGTCCTGGAGATCAAATGTGCGGGCCGATGTCAATCAACTCAACACACACTTTTCAGCAAAAGCATTCAGAAACCAACGCCCTCGTCTGACTTTATCCCCTTTTCATCCCTTTTCCGTCTAAAACACCTTTAAAACACGTTGGGAGCAGTAAAACAGATTCCTGAAGATTCATTCATCCACTCAATCCACTTTCCGGTCCTCAGGAATACCATGAAAAGCAAACAGATGATCACGGGGAGGAGAACTGGGATCAGTTTTCCACCTTGGATGCGAAACAGAAACGCCAGGAACTTGAGAATGCGGAAGAGCATACTTTCTCAGCCATGGAATCCAAACATTCTGCAATCAAACCACGGCCCCAGATACACCCCAAAGTCCAAGCAGAAACCGAGCAACGAATGCAAACATGTCTCCAGAAAGGATTGACATATACCGTATACCCCCTAACTGCTACGAGCTGCGTTGGGCGGAAGGAACTGAAACCTTCACAGGTTTCACCTCGGCGATGGCTTGTGGGCAAGCAAGGCCGAATGCAAGGCAACGGATGCGTGTCTGAATACATGCTGAATGGGATATCAAGTCAAGAAACAGCTAATAACTTTGGGAATCGTGAGGAAAGGAATCTACAAGGCCAGAAATCTATTGGACTGACCAAAACAAGGCAGAGGCCACGGCCTTCGTCGATGAAACAAGAACAAATCTCCCTTCTTTGATTGGATCTAGCATTTGAAGGAGAAAAACAGGCTGTAGGCAAATGTAGGCAAATGTGAGTCTCACAGCTGAGCCGAGAGTCCGGGAAGAAAACGAAATCCTGCATCAGGCAGAACCTCAGTTCTTCTCGCTTGTGTGCGCGCGCGTCTCAGTCAACATGTTCGTCCTGGAGTCAACCGTAACCTCCTTGAAGGTCTCAAAGCATCACGATCGAAGAAAACAAAACGATTTCCACAAATCGATACAAATAGATACAAATAGTCCCAATGATTGCATATTACCTTGCTTGCTGATTCTGCCCAGTCTAAGTTGTGGAGAACCAGTGCCTTAAATTTCAACGTGAGGCTCTTCAGACTTCCAAGTGTTTTGGCTGCGTTTCTGGCTACTCCGGGTGGCTCTGAGTCCCGCAGCACTCACAAGGGACCAGAAGAAACGCCAGGAAGTGCTTCAAACGAACCAACGGCTGCGAAAATGGAGCAAAGTGGAGCCATGGACCATGTCAAGCAATGTCAATTTCCATCGTACAGTAGAAAACTTGGTTTCACAAAAAAAAAATGCCTAATTGACACGGGTCTTGCTCCGCCTCAGGGCAGGGTTTGGCCACAATCTGGAAATCAGGTTGTGAAATCCGTGTTCTCGCATGTTCTCGCTGCTTGTGATATTAGTTGTGTTTTTCTGGCATGGCTCGGCACGAGCATCTGAGCATCTGCACATTTCTTTCCGCGCTCCAGTTCCATTCTGCGCAGATCTGTGTAGGACTTTGCCGTCACTCTGTGGGAACTGGGACTCAACCAAGTCGCTGAGAAACTCAGCGAGAAAGTCGCTGACTTGTTAACTTGTGACATCGTTGATGCCTCGGCAACATGTTCTTGAGCCTCCAGCCGGTTGGGCATGATGATGGCCCTCACAGAGCACACTGTGCTCTGTGAGGGCCATCATCATGCCCAACCGGCTGGAGGCTCAAGAACATGTTGCCGAGGCATCATCGATGTCAAAGGTTACCATGAAGTAACATTCATGAACTATGCCAACTCACGGCCCGGATATGTATATCATATCATATAAATCATATATGTGTATTAAGTGTATTTAATATTACATAGATGCCATTTGAGTCACCAACAGGGACGGGCACACTAGCATTGGTATCATCAGCTGCCCCATTTTTGAGCTGCGAAAATCTACCTGATGGCCAAGGTACTCACTGCCATTCCTGCAACAGAATCGAACGTTAAAACTTTGGAAAAAAAAGAGCCGTTCCGCTCAGTCCGAAATGATTTTTGCACATGTTCGTGACTGGCTTGATTCCAACATGAGGGAAGTCGACGCAGAGCTGGTTGAGGAATCTACCTGAGGAATCCTACACAGCTGTGAGAACCAACAAAACTAGAAATCCATAGAAATCCAACATATTCCAACTAACATCGCATCTCCAGTTCCACAGTCTATTTTGCAACTTCCAACACTGTGTGTCCTTGCTTCACCCTGCGTGCATCCGATCATTTGGATGACTTTGTGATTGAGATTGGGTTAGTCCGGTTAGTCCGGTTAGTCCGGTTAGTCCCAGTTTCTTCAGCTCCTTCATGCCAAGCTCTTCTAGAAGCTCATCTGCCAAGCTTTTCTTTGGCAAACAACCGATGCCTTGCTTGCCTCGGAACGTGAAACGCCGATTCGGGATATGATTCAGCCACAAGTGCCACTTTGTTCTGCATGTGACAAAGGCGGTCCAGTCACAGCATTTGCCAACGATGGAAGCTACTGGCCAAACATGGGCAGGTTTTGTCCAAATTTCCCAACACTTGGAGAACACAGGGAAAAGCATGCGTACTATATGCTATATACATCAAATGCCTTGAGCACCAAGACCCAGCAAAATTCCTGGGGCCAAACTTGCACAAAAAATGAACCCTCTGTTTGTGACTGGAAACCTGGGGTATTTATCTTGTAAACCAGTACGTAATTTGTACTCAACCCGTACTTTACCAATACCGACCGATACTTTGAAACGGTGTTTCGTAGTTTTCTTGTTTTCTCGAATTTGTTGCAACTCTCGTCAAGAATTGCCTAAGACTATCGAATAGAGTCTTCTGGACCTCCTGGTGCACTTCTATTTTCCGAACAACGTGGGACTCCTTCAACAGGTTGCGGGATTCCTTTCAACAGGTTGTGATTTCATTTTGTGCGTTCCCTTTTAAAGAGCGCAACGTCTCTTTGAGAGGGATGCTTTTACAGAGACCTTCAACATGCGCGAACTTCGTTTGAAAAATGTAGTAGTGCACTTTATTAGAAAGGTACGTTGAAAAAGTAGAACCCGTTTATGCAGTACTCTTTCGAAAGGGTATGGTACTCCTTAAAGCAAAATTTGGTAGGAGTGTGTGTGTGTACTATTTCTTCCGAAAAGGTGAACAATGTGATGGGAAAGAGTGCAACATGCACTTCGGACCATGAACATTGTCAGAAAGTAGAATTCTATGTATGCAGGACTCTTTTTGTTAAGAAAGGTATCGTAGGTAACATGCCCTTCCGGATGAATGCAACATGTGAGTAAAGAATGCGATATCCCTGTGTGGAAATTAAGTAGATATTTCCTTCAAGAAGCTATTGCCTTGCAAAAAATGAATAAAGGAATTGACATGATCTTTTCCAAGGAGTACTGCATTTGTGCATTGGTTATTGCATTTGTTTGACAGGAATGCTATGGGTTAAAACCAAACACACCGCATACTGTGCAGGATTTTCGCCTTTTAAAGGGATACCCATTGAAGGAAGACTGGATTTGTTGACAGAAAGACTCCACTTCGAACATTTCACCGTTTTGGGGGAATGCTCCATATATCTCCCTATTTTCCAGGCATACTGCTTCTTGAAGGAAGGCCTGTCTCAAAGGAAGACCACCGCTTGTGAACGAAAAATCGCTGTCTCTGAATTTAAAATGTTCCTTTAAAAAAAGTGGAATATTTCATGTGTGTGTGATTGTGTGTGTGTATGTTTATTGAATACTGCGATTTTTCGACAGGAAGTCTGTATGCACAAGAAAGGCAGAATAGTTTGAAAGGAAGACTGCACTTCCTCAAAATAAAACACTGCACCTTTTGAGGGCATGCCTCATGTTTTCATAGATGCTGGCCCGGAAGACTGCTTTCTCATAGCTACTTTACGAATCTTTAAGATAAATTGCGTTATGTGGTGAAACAATTTCTCAATCCTTTTGGTTCCTTCAAAATCCATCGTAAAGATCCACAATTACGCATGCAGCCACAACTACCTGCTCTCTTTTCTCAGTCTCACTTCTGCAATCTTTCACAACCACTGGGTGCCAAGCATTTGTGCGCATACCACACGACGGGCTGCCCATTAGACATTTTCACTTTGAAGTCACCTTGAGAAGTTGTGACTGAGCTTTGCGACGTTCACAGGATACATGAAACTGCATGTTACATTGAAAGTTAGGTAGCCATAGGTAGCCCAGGAAGAGACATGCTCCCTGGGGGCTCGCTATGATGCTGATTTCACACATGCAACATTTCAGTCGCTGTCTAAATCGTATGAATTTGGACAAGTTGCCATCTTCATCAAAGCCCTCCACAGTTCCCATGGTCTCGCATAAGTGCACTCGGTCACCAATGGATGTGAGACGTTCGATCACACCTCGCTCATGCGGGAAAACCACTGGGAACTTGGGAAAGTTCATACAGATTCTACGGATTTCATGAGGGCAGCCGGGCTTGCCGGGCTTGCCGGGCTTGCCGGGCTTGCGGGGCTGCCACTGCCATCATGCAATCGATATCAAAGGCGTTCTTGGCCTTTCAAATCATCTAACCACCCAACAGACTGTTTCCACAGAGCGTCTAATGTGTCTATGAAGTTCAAGGGGCGAAAGGTTCCCAAGATTTCCATAGACCATCTGACCAAGGGTTTGGAGATGCTGTCACAACATGTCACAACTTGATTTCACCCTATGGAGACGGTGCACAAACTTCGAAAGGTTTTGAACCTCCCAAAACTATCCACTGATGTCCAGAAATCTATCCACGGCATCCGATGGCAGCAAGCACCAAACCCACCCAAACCCCAAGTCATCAGTTCATGCAACGACGAGCAGCATCGGGGCCAAGCGCTTCGGAGTTGGTTAGGCTTCACCACCACCGGGTCATCTGCCAGGACGCTTCGAAGAAAATGCATATCTTGGAGGTAACAGAAGACTGGTGGCACATCTTGGCTCTATGTTTCAAGTATCATATAGGGACATAGATACGTTATGCATATTGGATCATATTGGCATATTTATGTACTGGTATGTACTTTATACATCTTTATACTACCACATCCATAAATGTGGCAAACATGTGGGACTAGGACACTGGGAGGAAATATGTGTCACCATCTTTTGACGTGTCTCTGAACATGAAACCTTTGGAACTATTGGAACTCTTGTTGCATGTATGATCTTTTCCGATTTAATCCAAGATTTGGAACCCGTCCGCTCCTGGCCCCCACGTTCCAGCAAACGGATGCGGAAGTCATTGGCTTCGACCATATTATCCGGTCTCCAACACTGAGAGCCTTCCTGCCCGGCTCAGATCTTCTACGCCAAGAACTATATATTCTTCGCGTAGAAAATCTACGCCGGGCAGGAAGAGTTCGGAAGAACAGCAAATGCTGGCAATGTCGGCAGCCAAGACTGATCCACACGTATCAGTCCACGTTGAATCTTACACTGTCTTGCTATGTCAACTATGTCTTACTGTCTGATCACAGCTGACGAGTACCCTGCACATTTATTCGCAGTGTGTTCAATGTGTTCCCCTTCGACAATTCCCACTCACAATCATGCATAGACCCCATGCCAAACCTGAAGAACTTCTGACAGCCGCGCCGCATGGTGTGAAAACAACTCCAAGATCTCAGGCATCCACCAGCCAATATCACCACAACCACGCTTGACCCCAGCATTCCTCTGCCCGATGGTGCTTGATATTTTTGTGCCACTAATAGTCACTACAGTAACAGACTCAGAATGCAAAACCTCTACTAGTGCTCCTAGAAAGTATCCAACGGATCTGTAACAACACATTGGAAGACTTCGCAAATGAGTTGTTCGGTGTTGTTGGACATCCGATTTCTGCAGTTGCAATGTTGGACTGGTTGGGATGCGTAGTCTACACTGTCGTTCCCGAACTTGCAGCCACATGCTGCATCAGGTAGCCATCGTCTTCCCATCGTCGGTGAAGACCGGAAGGTCTCCGTCTTCGTCCACACCAACAATTGTCGCTTTCGTTCCGCCGGGATGACTTCATGGCATGACGATACGACATGCAAGAAACTGCAAGCACCAAATCCAATCCATGTCCTGCATGAGAAGTTCCGACACTTGCATGTGCTAGGATGTGCCAGGGCGTGTGTGAGCCACACTCTGCTTTGAGACTGAGGTCCCTGACAAACATCCGGGATTCTCCCACCCACGGTGCTGTGATACACAGGAGCGTGGAGTATGACTATGACCTATTCAGTCATACTCCACGCTCCTGTGTATCACAGCGTCACATGCCGAAGTGTCTTGCTGCGCCGAACCCAACAACGAAGCACCGAAAAATATGCATTGAGCATAGTCAGGTGCGCCGGGTGCGCCAGGTGGGCCTTGGTCCATCGATCCAGCCCGCTCGACAGGCTTCAAATGGTTTCAACTCTTTGGCGACCTGGCACAGTTCATGTTTCAGACATGCCTTGGCCCATTTGGAGTCGTATTGTAAGGACGTTAAAAATGGCTCAAATGCCACCCTTTCCATTTTCAGCACCTTTCAATCAACTGCGTTCTTTCCGGGTTGCCCAAATATATTGCCAAAAATGTCTCATCGTAGATGCTTTGGGTCTCACAAATCTTCTTAGAATGAGCAGATTCCACGTGGTCTACTACTGTTTGAAAGCTGCTCAAGTAATTCATTGGTTTCCATTGGTTTCCCATGTTTTTCCTGTCTGTGGCCATGAGTTGGAAGTTGAAGGCCAGGCTGGCAGCAAAAGGAGTGCAGCACAGACCTAGGATGTTCTTTTTATTACCCGTCTAGGACTCAGGTGTGCATTGCCAAGCTTCAGGATTCAGCACCAAGGATTTTTTTGTCATCCAGACCTTCTTTCCATCTTGCGCTTCACACTTCGAAACACCTCGTGGCAAGTGAGCAAGCTGCACTGGTCATCAGCTGCACTCAGAAGCTCAATCTTAAGAGGATCTTACAAAAGCGGTGAGGACATGTGACAATGCACCGGATAAATGAGTCCCACGTAATTCAAATATAGTTGCAAAGTATTGCAAAGAAATCTCAAGTAATCTTTAGTAATCCATCTATCTCAGACCTCAACCCCAAAAACATCCAAAAACTGTAATCGTCACATGGCTCCGAAACATCACTGGGGCTCCAAACGCAACGACGTCAGCAGCGTGCCCGCGCTCTTCCATTCCCCTGAGCAGCCCGGCGTCGGCAGCACGTCCTGGAGATCAAATCTGCGGGCCGATGTCAATCAACTCAACACACACTTTTCAGCAAAAGCATTCAGAAACCGACGCCCTCGTCTGACTTTATCCCCTTTTCATCCCTTTTCCGTCTAAAACACCTTGAAAACACGTTGGGAACAGTAAAACAGATTCCTGAAGATTCATTCATCCACTCAATCCACTTTCCGGTCCTCAGGAATACCATGAAAAGCAAACAGATGATCACGGGGAGGAGAACTGGGATCAGTTCTCCACCTTGGATGCGAAACAGAAATGCCAGGAACTTGATGTGGAATGCGGAAGAGCATACTTTCTCAGCCATGGAATCCAAACATTCTGCAATCAAACCACGGCCCCAGATACACCCCAAAGTCCAAGCAGAAACCGAGCAAGGAATGCAAACATGTCTCCAGAAAGGATTGACATATACCGTATACCCCCTAACTGCTACGAGCTGCGTTGGGCGGAAGGAACTGAAACCTTCACAGGTTTCACCTCGGCGATGGCTTGTGGGCAAGCAAGGCCGAATGCAAGGCAACTGATGCGTGTCTGAATACATGCTGAATGGGATATCAAGTCAAGAAACAGCTAATAACTTCGGGAGTCGTGAGGAAAGGAATCCACAAGGCCAGAAATCTATTGGACTGACCAAAACAAGGCAGAGGCCACGGCCTTCGTCGATGAAACAATAAGAACAAATCTCCCTTGTTTGATTGGATCTACTACTACCATTTGAAGGACAAAAACAGGCTGTAGGCAAATGTAGGCAAATGTGAATCTCACAGCAGAGCCGAGAGTCCGGGAAGAAAACGAAATCCTGCATCAGGCAGAACCTCAGTTCTTCTCGCTTGTGTGCGGCGTCTCAGTCAACATGTTCGTCCTGGAGTCAACCGTAACCTCCTTGAAGGTCTCAAAGCATCACGATCGAAGAAAACAAAGCGATTCCCACAAATCGATACAAATAGTCCCAATGATTGCATATTACCTTGATGATGCTTGATGATTCTGCCCAGTCTAAGTTGTGGAGAACCAGTGCCTTAAATTTCAACGTGAGGCTCTTCAGACTTCCAAGTGTTTTGGCTGCGTTTCTGGCTACTCCGGGTGGCTCTGAGTCCCGCAGCACTCACAGGGGACCAAAAGAAAGGCCAGAAAGTGCTTCAAACGAACCAACGGCTGCGAAAACGGAGCAAAAAGTGGAGCCATGGACCATGTCAAGCAATGTCAATTTCCATCGTACAGTAGAAAACTTGGCTTCACAAAAAAAAAATGCCTAATTGACACGGGTTTTGCTCCGCCTCAGGGCAGGGTTTGGCCACAATCTGGAAATCAGGTGAAATCAACCTCCGTGTTCTCGCTGCTTGTGATATTAGTTGTGGTTTTCTGGCGTGGCTGGGCACGAGCACATTTCTTTCCGCGCTCCAGTTCCATTCTGCGCAGATCTGTGTAGGACTTTGCCGTCACTCTCTGGGAACTGGGACTCAACCAAGTCGCTGAGAAACTCAGCGAGAAAGGGTGAAACCTGTGCTCTGTGAGGGCCAGCATCATGCCCAACGGGCTGGAGGCTCAAGAACATGTTGCCGAGGCATCACCGATGTCACAGGTTAACAAGTCAAGGTCCACTACCATGAAGTAACATTCATGAATTATGCCAACTAACGGCCCGGATATGTATATCATATAAATCAATATAAATCAATATAAATCAATATAAATCAATATAAATCAATATAAATCAATATAAATCATATAATTATGTGTATTAAGTGTATATAATATTATAGATACCATTTGAGTCACCAACAGGGACGGGCACACTAACATTGGTATCATCCGCTGCCCCAATTTTTGAGCTGCGAAAATCTACCTGATGGCCCAGGTACTCACCATGCCTGCAGCAGAATCGAACAGTAAAAGTTTGAAAAAAAAAGAGCCGTTCCCTTCAGTCCGAAATGATTTTTGCACATGTTCGTGACTGGTTTGATTCCAACATGAGGGAAGTCGACGCAGAGCTGGTTGAGGAATCCACCTGAGGAATCCTACACAGCTGTGAGAACCAACAAAACTAGAAATCCATAGAAATCCAACATATTCCAACTAACATCGCATCTCCAGTTCCACAGTCTATTTTGCAACTTCCAACACTGTGTGTCCTTGCTTCACCCTGCGTGCATCCGATCATTTGGATGACTTTGTGATTGAGATTGGGTTAGTCCGGTTAGTCCGGTTAGTCCGGTTAGTCCGGTTAGTCCCAGTTTCTTCAGCTCCTTCATGCCAAGCTCTTCTAGAAGCTCATCTGCCAAGCTTTTCTTTGGCAAACAACCGATGCCTTGCTTGCCTCGGAACGTGAAACGCCGATTCGGGATATGATTCAGCCACAAGTGCCACTTTGTTCTGCATGTGACAAAGGCGGTCCAGTCACAGCATTTGCCAACGATGGAAGCTACTGGCCAAACATGGGGAGGTTTTGTCCAAATTTCCCAACACTTGGAGAATACAGGGAAAAGCATGCGTACTATATATCTATATGCTATATACATCAAATGCCTTGAGCACCAAGACCAGCAAAATTCCTGGGGCCAAACTTGCGCAAAAAATGAACCCTCTGTTTGTGACTGGAAACCTGGGGTATTTATCTTGTAAACCAATACGTAATTTGTACTCAACCGGTACTTTGCCAATACCGACCGATACTTTGAAACGGTGTTTCGTAGTTTTCTTGTTTTCTCGAATTTGTTGCAAATCTCGTCAAGAATTGCCTAGGACTATGGAATAGAGTCTTCTGGACCTCCTGGTGCACTTCTATTTCCGAACAGCGTGGGACTCCTTCAAAAGGTTGTGGGATTCCCTTCAACAGGTTGTGATTTCATTTTGTGCGTTCCCTTTTAAAGAGCGCAACGTCTCTTTGAGAGGGATGCTTTTACAGAGACCTTCAACATGCGCGAAATTTGTTTGAAAAATGTAGTAGTGCACTTTATTAGAAAGGTACGTTGAAAAAGTAGAACCCGTTTATGCAGTACTCTTTCGAAAGGGTATGGTACTCCTTAAAGCAAAATTTGGTAGAAGTGTGTGTGTGTGTACTATTTCTTCCGAAAAGGTGGACAGTGTGATGGGAAAGGGTGCAACATGCACTTCGGACCATGAACATTGCTAGAAAGTAGAATTCTATGTATGCAGGACTCTTTTTGTTAAGAAAGCGTGGTATCGTAGGTAACATGCCCTTCCGGATGAATGCAACATGTGAGTAAAGAATGCGATATCCATGTGTAGAAATTAAGTAGATATTTCCTTCAAGAAGCTATTGCCTTGCAAAAAATGAATAAAGGAATTGACATGATCTTTTCCAAGGAGTACTGCAATTGTGCATTGGCTATTGCATTTGTTTGACAGGAATGCTACAGGTTAAAACTAAACACACCGCATACTGTGCAGGATGTTCGCCTTTTAAAGGGATACCCATTGAAGGAAGACTGGATTTGTTGACAGAAAGACTCCACTTCGAACATTTCACCATTTTGGGGGAATGTTCCATATTTTCCAGGCATACTGCTTCTTGAAGGAAGGCCTGTCTCAAAGGAAGACCACCGCTTGTGAACGAAAAATCGTTGTCTCTGAATTTAAAATGTTCCTTTAAAAAAATTGGAATATTTCATGTGTGTGTGATTGTGTGTGTATGTTTATTGAATACTGCGACTTTTCGACAGGAAGTCTGTATGCACAAGAAGAAAGGCAGAATAGTTTGAAAGGAAGACTGCACTTCTTCAAAATAAAACACTGCACCTTTTGAGGGCATGCCTCATGTTTTCATAGATGCTGGCCCGGAAGACTGCTTTCTCATAGCTACTTTAAGAATCTTTAAGATAAATTGGTTATGTGGTGATACAATTTCTCAATCCTTTTGGTTCCTTCAAAATCCATCGTAAAGAAGCCACAACTACCTGCTCTCCCTCTTTCAATCTCACTTCTGCAATCTTTCACAACCACTGGGCCACTGGGTGCCAAGCATTTGTGCGCATACCACACGACGGGCTGCCCATTTGACATTTTCACTTTGAAGTCACCTTGAGAAGTTGTGACTGAGCTTTGCAACGTTCACAGGATACATGAAACTGCATGTTACATTGAAAGTTAGGTAGCCATAGGTAGCCCGGGAAGAGACATGCTCCCTGGGGGCTCGCTATGATGCTGATTTCACACATGCAACATTTCAGTCGCTGTCTAAATCGTATGAATTTGGACCAGTTGCCATCTTCATCAAAGCCCTCCACAGTTCCCATGGTCTCGCATAAGTGCACTCGGTCACCAATGGATGTGAGACGTTCGATCACACCTCGCTCATGCGGGAAAACCACTGGGAACTTGGGAAAGTTCATACAGATTCTACGGATTTCATGAGGGCAGCCGGGCTTGCCGGGCTTGCCGGGCTTGCCGGGCTTGCCGGGCTGCCACTGCCATCATGCAATCGATATCAAAGGCGTTCTTGGCCTTTCAAATCATCTAACCACCCAACAGACTGTTTCCACAGAGCGTCTAATGTGTCTATGAAGTTCAAGGGGCGAAAGGTTCCCAAGATTTCCATAGACCATCTGACCAACCAAGGGTTTTGAGATGCTGTAGCAGCAACATGTCACAACTTGATTTCACCCTATGGAGACGGTGCGCAAACTTCGAAAATGTCCAGAAATCTATCCACGGCATCCGATGGCAGCAAGCGCCAAACCCACCCAAACCCCAAGTCATCAGTTCATGCAACGACGAGCAGCATCGGGGCCAAGCGCTTCGGAGTTGGTTAGGCTTCACCACCACGGGGTCATCTGCCAGGACGCTTCGAGGAACATGCATATCTTTGAGGTAACAGAAGACTGGTGGCATAATGGTGGCATATCTTGGCTCTATAGTATCTTTCAAGTATCATACATGGATATAGACATGTTATGTAAGTTATGTATGTACTTCACACAACCACATCCATAAATGTGGCAAAAATGCGTGACTAGGACACTGGGAGGAAATATGTGTCGCCATCTTTTGACGTGTCTCTGAACATGAAACCTTTGGAACTACTGTTGCATTTATGATCTTTTCCGTTTTAATCCAAGATTTGGAACCCGTCCCGTCCAGGCCCCCACGTTCCAACAAACGGATGCGCACCCATGTGGTCGAAGCCAATGACTTCGGCCACTTCTTCTCTCCTGGTGTTGAAGACCCGGTCTCCAACACTGATTGCCTTCCGGCAATTCTTTGCATAGAAAATCTGAGCCGGGCAGGAAGAGTTCGGAAGAACAGCAAATGCTGGCAATGTCGGCAGCCAAGACTGAACCACATCTATCAGTCCCATGTTGAGTCTTACACTTACACTGTCTTACTATGTCAACTATGTCTTACTATCTGATCATTGTCCCCACTGCGTAATTACGAACGAATCCAATTGTGCAGTTGGATGGAACTCGTACATGTACAACTACGCGGAATGGCACAATGCTCTACCAATGTGCTTGATATTTTTGTGTCACTACAATAACATTCACATATTGACAACAGACTCAGAATGCAAAACCTCTACTAGTGCTCCTAGAAAGTATCCAACGGATCTGCAACAACACATTGGAAGACTTTGCAAATGAGTTGATAAGTAAGTTCGATGTTGTTTGGACGTCCGATTTCTGCAGTTGCAATGTTGGACTGGTTGGGATGCGTGGTCCACACTGCCGTTCCCGAACTTGCAGCCACATGCTGCATCAGGTAACCATCGTCTTCCCATCGTCGGTGAAGACAGGAAGGTCTCCGTCTTCGTCCACGCCGACGATTGTCGCTTTCGTTCCGCCT